ACAAAAGTTGTAGATCTCGTCGATAGCTACGAGTGGATATAAAGAACGTCAAAAACGCAGTTCGTATGAACGAGTTACAATTTTTAATAGCACATTTATGTATTAAAATAAAGTGTAAATCATATATATATATATATATATATATATATATATATATATATATATATATATATATATATATATATCATTAGAAAGGTACCGACGATGTAGTCGTTATAAGACTAGTGTTTAGTACTTTTGATATTAGTTTAGTAAAAATAACATTAAATCTATTTCAAATAGTATTATAAAGGGGTGTTTAGTCATTTAAGTAAATATAGATGGTGGTTTTTGAAAATTCAATAACTATAAATAAGAGCCTCTAGGCTCACATATATCTTGCACCATTCTCTTGATTAAAGACTCTTTCTCTTCTTATCCCATGAGCATTCCGATCCCTCGTGATTCGACTTCTCTTTCTATAGTTTTAGTATAGTAAGGTGAGCGTTGAAGCGCTGCAAGAATCTTTCTTAAAGAGATTCAGCGACGAAGTTCTGCTCCTGCAGAGTCCGACTCCTAACAAAAACCCCCTTGTAAGTATGTTATACTTACCCTAGTTTAAATATAGCTTATATCTAAAATCAGTATTGTTATTATAAAAAATATTTTGGCTATTATTATGACTTATATAAATTTCCTTATAATATCTTTTTAACTACTCGCGGTACGGGGAATCTGGTTTAAAGGATCGCATATGGTTGTTAGATTTCAGAAGTGTTATATGCAAAAATGGCCCTGCCCTCCAGTGTTTTTTATATGGCCCTTATCTGTACATAGTGGTTGGAAAATATTGTTTAAATGTTTATATAATAATAATAATAATAATAGTAATAATAATAATAATAATAATAATAATAATAATAATAATAATAAGACTAATAATTAGTCACGGTAAATATTAGACTAAAATCTAGTGGTAATAATATTAGGTTTCGTCAAAGGAAATTATATTGTTAAGAAGTGAAGCGTTATCCGAGTGTGGAATCATCACTTTAAGAAGTGAGTGTATAGTTACTTAAATTTCATCTTACACATAGATATGAAGTATTTAATATAAATTACGTGCTATGTATGCATATTATTTGTGTTCCTAATATCAATGTTGGATGAACGAAAATATACATGTTTTAATTATTTTAAACTGTATATGTATTTTATACCTATAATTATGATGGGTAAAAGATGGGTAGATTAACGATGCAATGAATGATCAGCGATGAATGATGATATGAATAATAATCAATGATATATGAGTGGTAAAAGATAGTGAGAAGCGATGACTCAAGTGATGTCCTCGTCATCTAGTAGAGTATAGATGACAACTACAGACTACTCTAGACAGTCCATTGGAACACTAGCAGGCTTGCAACATGTAGGTGTTGTGAACGATGTGTTCACCCGGTGTACTTTAAAAACCCATTGACATGTATTGCGGGTAGACTCCCTAAAATAATACTGTCAATAAATGAGATAAACTCTGGCAGCTATGGACTTAGCGCTTGTTAGATGAACCTTGGCAACTATGGGCTTAGTGTCTGTTATATAAACCTTGTCAACAATGGGCTCGTGCCTATTCCTTAGAGAAATCCTTAGGAATAAATAATGAGGAATAAAGGATTCTTAGGGAAGATACTTAAGAATAAAGAAGATAATCGAGATGGGTAATTGGGTTTATTGTTTGATGATTAAACATAATAACATTATTATTGTGGATTGAAAACCCTATGTACTCACTAGATTTCCCAACCTGACCCACTCAGTTTATTTGTATCACATGTGTCGATATAAAGCTACATTACACTGAGAGATTAAAGGAGATGTAAATCACTAGTGTAAAAGAATGTAAGGTCTGTTTATGCTTATGTTTCTGTATTGACGATGACATCTCAATGTTTTTATTATAAACAAATACATTTCTTCGGAAATGCTTTGATAAAACCTTCATCATGTTTTTTGGGAACAAAATTCCGCAACATTGTTCTTTAAAAAGGATACTCTGATTTTAAAATAAGCATAAATAAATTTTTTAAAATGACCGTAAATTTGGGGATGTCACAGTGTAGAAGATGAGAAGAAGAGTAGTGGATTTGAGAGCTAATTAGAAGTTAGTGCAGAACGTGTTATGAAGTGAACCTAGCACCTCTATTGATACATTTGATAGCTAACTAATTATCCTAAAAATAAGGGATCTTCCTTTATCTTCTCTTGACCATGTATTTTGGGAGACTCAGCGTATTGTCTTTTTGACCATGTGCTTAATTAACTTAGTCCATGCCTTGTAAGATAAGCCTTTAGTCATGCACAAGAAATATGATTACAATACCAAGATATTCAATTGTTCAAGATCTTGAGCATTTCATGATCTTGGGTGATTCAAGATGTTAGTATAGGTTCAACATGTTGGGCATAATAAATTAGAGTCAAAATATCACCCACAACACTAAGTACCTACATTTTCATATCTGATATCATGTCCTTAGTAAGGTGTAACTCCCTAAAGTCTCACCTTACATTATATTCTCACTTCCTCAGTTGATTGACCCCAAAACAGACTTCACTAAGGTAAGGCGACCTCCAAAAGAGAGGGCTTTGGCGTTCCATCTCTCCAATCTAGTCTGAAACCAATCAAAAACATGAGACCAAGCAGAAAAACGAGTCATAGCCTGACCAATTGGGACACCAAGATGGATAAAAAGGAGATCAACCGCAACACAACCAATCCTATCTGCCACAATAGAAACCTAGCTGTAAGGGACTCCCACACCAATCAATTTGCTTTTATGCAAATTGAATTTGAGACCCGAAGCCATATAAAAACATCGAAGAATGTAAATAAGACGATTAACATTTTCAAGATCCCAATCTGACATTCCCTGCGTACATAAGATACAAGATCTCAATCCCTGAAATAGTAACACCTCTAAAAAAAATTGGTCATCCAAGCTCTCATCAAAGCTACATGAAGTCCCTCCATCGCCAAAATGAAAAGAAAATGTGATAAGGGGTCTTCTTGTCTGAAACCATGATGAATTTGAAATTCATTGATAGGCGACTTTTTTTTTTTTTTTTTTTTTTTAATATTCTAGAATTGTTACTTTTGCAAAATAAAATAAAAAAAATCATGAATTCTTCTAATGTAATTAATTCTTACAAATGTATACAAAATCAAGTTTAATAAAACTATTGATATTTTTTAGAAGATATTTTGTTTGACTGTTATGTATTCTTGTGTATGATATATATATATATATATATATATATATATATATATATATATATATATATATATATATATATATATATATATATATATATATTATATGCGGCTCATCTCCTTTTAATAAATACTAGGTGTAAGACCTATGTACTACACAGGTTGATCAAAAAATTTAAAAATCAATATTTAACATTAAACATTTTTTAAAGTAAAATTTTGAAATATACAAACAAAATGATGAATTGAATCTATACGGTTGACGAAATAACTTATATTCAAAAGTCATTATTTGATCATAATGACATTTATATCTTTCAACACAATGCAACAAAAATGGACAAAATTTGTGCAAGTTAAACTCATGGACCTCACACCACCTATTGAATCAACTTTTGATGAATTCAAGTCACTATGCTAGTGTCTAAAAATACAACCTAGCCCCAACACTACTAGAAAAAAGGTCTTTTACGACGCTCATTGCGCGTCGTAAAACGCTCAGACGACGCGCAAATGCGCGTCAAGGAAGGCCCTGTCATAAAGAGAGACGACGCGCATTTACGACGCGCATTTATGACGCGCATTTACGACGCGCGATTATGACACGCAATGCGTATCAAGGAAGGCCCTGTTATAAAGGAAGACGACACGCATTTGCGTGTCGTAACTTTACGACGCACGAGTTTATGACACGCAATGCGTATCAAGGAAGCCTCCGTCAAGAAAGGCCATGTCATAAATGAAGACGACACACATTTTTGCGTATCGTAATTTTAATTTTTTTAAAAAAATATATATATTTATATATTTATTAATTTATAAATTAACTTTGCATTTAATCTCTCATAATAGAAATAAAATACCATATACAAAAAATACAATCCATTTCATAATATTAAATAAAATACCATATACAGAAAATACAATCCATTGCATTTAATCTGTATGTATAACAAAGACACATGTGTTAAACTTGTTACCATTAACATCTAATCGTATGGACTCGAGTGTTAAACTTGTTACCATTAACATCTGATTCATAAGTCCTTTCTACAAGATTGTTACCTACATAAATGAAAACAAACAGGAACATTAACAACCCAGCTATGACTCTTTTTGTCCCAGAATCTGAATTAAACCACAAGTGATAGCATTAGGCATTAGGCATTAGCATCTGGTTTAGCATACAAATGTCTTACCAACAAAGAAAGACAAAGCAGTATAGCATTAGGCATTAGCATCAGTGTTGGTCAAACACTCTGCATCAGTCGAAACTAAGGCAATTAAGACAATCCATAGTAACATTAGAGTTTCCCTGCACTAGTCAAAAGTATCCCCTATAAAGGATCAGGTAGAAACTCTATTCTCACGTTCAAGAGGTGAAAAAACTCTTCAAGTTCAGATAAGCATCACAAAAATCTACTTAACTATTTAATTCCCAGCCAAGGGTTAAATACCCCATTAAGAGACCAAAGTAATTGGAACCACTGGTACAGTTAAGGATTGCCCTCACAATAAAAGAAACACAAAAACAGGTGGTGCTATGCCCACAGTTACTAAGGAGAAATAAAAATAAATTAATAATATTCTAAAGCACAATCGACATTATGCAAATTATAAGTGAAGGCAACAATGTGACATTCAAAAGTATGCTTTCCCATTTATGCTAACACCTTAAATAAACAAACACGGAGGCCTAAGATCATGAAGTTTCAAGGAAGATGCATACCACATGGTAATATGTTTTTCAGCCAAAACCACGTTCTTTGTAAACTATGATCATGAGCCAGTCATTTACTAGTTCTCTATCTTGGATGTCCATATCCTGACAAAGTAAAATAAGATCTCAGTTAAAATGATGAATACAATAATTATGCAACCAGAACCATAGATAAAATTCAGTTTGACAATTGTAAGAATCACCTGTTTTGTTTTGAGAACAAGGGCTTTCCAAAGATGGCTACTAAAGCGGGGGATAAAAGATAAAAGAACCTGACTGCATATAATCAAAAACCAACAATTCAAGAATTATTTGATATGCGTACAGTAGTTAATTAATATGTGTTAGCCATAATTTAATCGGTCAGAGCAAGCTATAAATATGCTTTCTGGATGTTGACTCTTTGGTCTCCCATTAGCTCAAGAACTTCTTCTCACAGAATCTATATCACTTGAAATGAAACTAGCATAAGGTTTCAACGTCACAATTATTGGTTAGCAATGAAAAAAACTTAACCGCAAGAAATGTCTCATACCAATTGCGTTCATAGAAAAATTGAAAAAAACTATGGATTAGTGGATGTAGTCATATTTTTCTCTAATTATTTAAGTGCTTGTACCAGATCTATTCCTTGAAAGCTAGAGAAACATTTTTTTTATCAAACAGATGAAACATTGATTCGAAATCTAAACTCCATTGCAACTAATTTTAAAAAGAAAATAAATTAAAGAAAACTTCACAAGTTGAATAGACTCGAATCAAATTTCCAAATCCAAAATTCGGAAATAACTTCAACATCAAAAACAGGGATGAGGTGATTAACTGCTCCAGCTCGTTAATCACCTCTTCCTGTGGTCTATGAATCAAATCAATCATCCTCCATATCTACACACATCATCATTCAAACAAAACAAACATTTCAACTGATCAATATAAATAACATTTTAATAAAAACTAAAATAATAATAAATAAGTGATATGTATACATACCTGTAGAGTTCCACCGCCACCTGTGCTTTCACGATCATCCGACACACTGACAATTGTCCATGGATCATGCGAGTTCCAGTGGAAATCAACCACCTTATCCCTTCAATCATAGCACAATATAATCTTGTTTCAATTTTTATCTATTTTTTTATTTCTGTAAAAAGGAAAACCATTAATTAAAATTAAATATATATACCTATGTCCAGAGTGTCTGAACAATAAGCCAGGTGCAAATTTTGAGGCTGGACCAGAACGTTCACCAACCTGTAGACAAACAAACAAACCTTTTATTAAAAAAAAAACAATTTGTTGAAAGAAAAGAATAGGGGAAAATGGAATAAAAGTAAAAGTGGTTTTTGGTTGAGTTGACACACCTTATTGTGATCCCAGATGTTCAAGACACCATCTTCTGTTGAGCTTCCAAAGATGGATGATTTGTCAGGAGACCACTGAAACATACAAAGTAATTGGAATTTAGAAATAGTGAACAATTATTCTAGAAAGGGAATCCATAATTCCCTAGAATTCATTAGGCACATCTACTTCAACCCATGTTTCTTGATCAAGCATTGCTTTCAGTTTTGTCATCTATAACAACAATAATAATATTATTAATCAAAAAATTGTTGTTTACCTTCTCTGTTGCAGTTACAAATTATTGTGACACGTTATATATTTGTAAAAAGTCTTGAAGCCTTAGTCTTGGATGCAAAAGAGCACGAACACCAAGAAGTTTTGCCCATCTTTCATGAGCTGCATCACAAGCTGCAAACACTGCTTCTATGTTTTCTCTCAATACATCAGCTCTGTTAAATGATACAGTTATATATATATATATATATATATATATATATATATATATATATATATATATATATATATATATATATATATATATATATAATAGAACAGATCACCATTTTCAACCAAGCAAAGTTTGAAGAATAACAAACCTGTAGCTCATTGAATTCTAGATCATACTGAAAGCAGCCTTTTGTACATTAGCCCTTCCTTCCAAATGTTTCCGCTTCTTCATATCTAAAATTAATTATTATAAACTATTAATTAAATTCAATAAAAAAATATTGGGGATTCAATAATAAAATACTTCTCGAGAACTAGTATTGAACAAATTTTTAGGGATCAATGTATAAACAATTTATATATCAAATTACCGTGTAAAAAAATAAAAAATTTCTAAAATTCACAATGTCATGGATCCATTTAGAACAAGTTAAATTAACATACTTGAATAAACATACATTCTCATGGTTGAAAAAAAAAAACTAAGAAAACGTATTACCATTTGTCATGGTTGAAAATCGAAGAGTTACAAGCAAAAGATAAAATATAACATGGCCAATGGCCACACTAATTCATCATCAAGAATTATTCAAAACACAAAATCACTACAACTCCTTTTATTGGTGTGCCTTAGCTGCAACTTTTCTTTGCGAATTTGCCTTTGACTGAAAAATCATTTGCACAAAAAATAGTTAATTTAAGATTTTTGGTTAATCGTTACACATACAAAGGGGTATTTTGGTCTATAAATGATTGCAATGGAACTAAATTCCATCCATTGGTTAAACACAAACCAGATGTGCCCTAAATTTTACAAAATAAAAACATCTTTGGCCATCAACCATTAAATTAACATGAAAAAAAAATGTAACAATGGATTAAAATTTCAAGAATATCTTACCATTGAGTGCAACAACACCCACAATTGAATGCATATAGTTAAATCACACATGTAGTCATATAGTGGCACAGAGCACAAATTATTAAAAACATAAAAATACATGTGAATATTATCAAATGAAGCATTTCTCACTTCATAAAACATATGTAATAGGTGCTAAAGACTTAATGATATCTGGGGAATTTCATCGAACACTTGGTGTTCGTCTAAACACCATGGAAAGACAAAGGTAAATTGCAGAAATCAAACACATAAATCACAAAAATGGAGTATAGGAGTTGATAATTCATTGAAATATGAACAAAAACAAAAACAATAGAGATGCACAATGGATTAACATAATAAATCGAGAAGTAAAAAAAACAGAAGAACATAAGTCGATTTAGGGATGGAAGTTACCACTATGAAGGCCTGAACATCTTTATTCCTCTCTTTCTCTCTCTCTCTCTCTCTATCTCTCTCTCTCTCTCTCTTCTCGTTAAGCTGCTGGCGAGACTTGGCTGGCGACCCCTTTGGCAGAAGATCTCGGGCGGTGTTTAGCGCCCTTAGCGACCCATGACGACCTTCCTAAGGACGCCCACTCCTTTGAGCCTGATAATCATATCGAGAGTGCTAGATTCAGATCCGCTTTCTATTCAAATATGCCCAATTTTTTTGCAGGACACGGTCCAAATTTTTACATAAGAACAGCCAAATCATTCAAAACTAGAAAAAGATATGTGAAGGAATGAAAATTAAATTGATTACCTAGGTCTCTAACGCAGAAGTTTTAAAGGTGATGACGAGATGCAATCGGGAAGCTAATGGAGCAAAGTTACGGTTCTTCATCTGTGTGTTTTTCGATTTATCTGTGGGGAATTTGAAACAAACGAGAATCAAGATTCACATTCCTAATATTGAGACTTGAGAGTATAATTAGGGTTTTTTCTAACAATTTCAACATCGAGTGGGAGATATGGTGGTTCTAGTGGGTAGAAGTAAGTGGGGGAAGAAGTAGGCGGTAGTAAGGAAGAAGCGTTCATAATTTGGGCAAGAGGGAAAGGAGAAAAAAAGGAAGGCGGGGTTTTTAATTTTTTCAGAATTTCATTTCCCCCTTTCCCCCACTATTAAAGGATGGAACGCGCGTTCCATTAAAAAATATAAAGCGACATCCTTAGACGACGCGCATTTTATTATAGGTGCCCTCCGTGTTTTTTTTAGACACTAATTTAAGGGTGCGCAATAACGCGTGTCTTCTATCCTTAAATTTTTTGAAGAGATGACATTTTTCTAATGTCACTCTCCTTTGCGTAACATAGATCAATGAGCGTCGTATTTTGCGCGTCGTAAAAGGTCTTTTTTCTAGTAGTGCAAGAAAATACTTAACATTAATAAGTCTAACAACAAAGCAACCACCAACACCCGTGATATTTTTAGAATTCACGAACACTCATCCAAATGCCATAAACATAGGTAAAAACTTTTAAAGATCAACATATATACCTAGATTTAAAAAAAATCGACAACTTTAATATTAAAGGAATGCTCCATAAATACATTGCACTTTAAAAGATTCTAAAGTAAAGTTGCATTCTCATGCTTCAGTTACTATTCTTTAGTTTTTTAAAGTAAACAACTAATAATATATAAAATTTTAATTTATATTTATTCAAACAAAATGTCGTTATAAATAATCGAAATGAATAAATTATATTTTTATAAATTACAAGTCAAAGTTGAATCATAATCATATACTTACAATCTTTTTATAATTATATCATCAAAAAATTATAACTAAATTAAGTATTCGAATACAATTAACTCAAATTAATTTTTATATTATTCAAACACGCATTTATTTAATAAAAAAATTACATTAATAACATATTTAAATAAATAATAGTCAACAATCCGTTATAATCAATTAGAATTAATTGCTATAATAATATGGCTTAATTACTTTAATGATGTGACAATAAAATAAAAATGACAAAAAAAAAAATAAGAAAATGATACTGGAAACAAAATTACTCTAAATTAATGAAAAAATTACATGTGTTAAGATTAAGGAGAAGATGTTATTTGGCAAAAATATCTTTATTTATTAGGATAACTACTTTCTAACCTATGGGAATCACAGTTATAAAATTAATTAAACTTTTTAAGTAAAAAACTTAAAACTATTAATTAATTATTTTAAATAACTTATTAATTAAGAGATATTTTTTAGTTATATATAAAATTATAATCGTTCATTCAAATAAATACATAAAATTATATCATCTTATAATTTGCATAAAATTTATTTTATTATAATTTATATAAATTTTATTTTATTTTTTATTTTAATGTTATTAATTTAATGTAATTAAAATGAGAAATTTAAATATTGAAATTTGAAATTTAAAATGAAGAATCAATACACTGACAAGTGGCATGATATTAAAGGGAATATGACTTATTAAGGTAATTAACTTTTCGGTATGTTTACATCTAGGTAAATATCTTTTTTTTGTACACATGTAAGTAACAAACTTGTTGGAAGTGTTCACATATGATCATTATGACCTGCTATAGCAGGTTAAATCCTAGATGTGAACTTTTTCAACACGTTCGTTACCTAGATGTGTATGAAAAAAAAAATAGTTACTTAAATATGAACAAAATAAAAAGTACAAATTAAATTACATGAATGGTCCCTGTGGTTTGGGGGAATTTGTGTTTTTTGTCCCTAACTTATTTTTTTAACTTAGATGGTCCATACTGTTTATTTTTGTTTCGCATTTGATCCATATCTTACCTAAAAAGACTATTGTGCCATTATTAATTTATTTGTTAATTAATTTTCTTATTTATGTATTTATTTTTTACATATTTAAAAAAAATAATAGACCACACATGTTTATATCTTCTCGGATGATCCCTACTGTTTAATTTTGTTACGAACTTGATCTATGTCTTACCTAAAAAGACTATTATGCCCTTATTAAAATTTTTAATTAATTTTCTTGTTTACGTATTTATGCTTTATATATTTAAGAAAAATTAGTAGACAACATATATATGTGTCTCCTCATCATCCCATCTTTCATCATTCTCAACTTTTATTTATTTTCCATCTTTAGTGATATCGACGTTTTCATCATCACTTCTTTTTTCGGTCCTTCGACTCCTTTGAATCAACACCACAACCCACGGAAGACGAAAAGACAGTAGGTTATGGTGTTGGTTCGCCAGAGTTGAAGTACCAAAAAAAAAAAAGAATGGTGAAGATATCGATATTACTAAAAATAGAAAAGAAATAAAATATGGGGATGATGAGAGATGAAAATGGTGACCGATAAGACCCAAATTAAATTTCTCAAATGTGGTTTTAGGTTTACGGTGAGGAGATACATATATATAGGGTATATTAATTTTTTTAAATATATAAAAAATAAATACATAAATAAGAAAATTAATTTAAAAAAAATAATAAGGGAAAAATAGCCTTTTTAGGTAAGACAGAGAACAAACGCGTAACAAAAATAAACAGTACAGACCATCCGAGTTAAAAAAATTTAATTAATTAAAAATAAACAATAGGGATAATCCGAGAAGATACAAATATGTGTGATCTATACATTTATATATATATATATATATATATATATATATATATATATATATATATATATATATATATATATATATATATATAAATACATAAATAAGAAAATTAATTAAAAAATAAATTAATAATGGCACAACAGTCTTTTTAGGTATGGCAGAGACCAAACGTGAAACAAAAATAAACAGTAGAGACCATCTAAGTTAAAAAAATAAGCTAGGGATCAAAAACATAAATTCCCCGAAACCACAGGGACCATTCGTGTAATTTAATTTT